TTTGCAAGTGTTTTTCCCCGATTGCTCAGAATTGAGGTGGAAACATTATGGTGGGTCCCAGCGACTGGTAAATTGAAAGGAAAGGTCTTGATATCAATCTGGAAATAAGGAGGAATTTCCTGACAGTGAGAACAATCAACCCATGGAACAGAAGTTGCCTTTGGAAGTTGTGAGAGCTTCATCCCTGGAGGCTTTCAAGATGAGACTGGACTGCCATCTGTCAGAAATGGTGTAGGGTTTCCTGCTTGGGGGTGGTGGTGGACCAGATGACCTATAAGGGCCCTTCCAATTATGCTAATCTGTTATTCTGTTATTCAGAAGTTGTGGGAGCTTCATCCCTCTAAGCTTTCAAGAAGAGACTGGACTGCCATCTGTCAGAAATGGTGTAGGGTTTCCTGCTTGGGGGTGGTGGTGGACCAGATGACCTATAAGGGCCCTTCCAATTATGCTAATCTGTTATTCTGTTATTCAGAAGTTGTGGGAGCTTCATCCCTCTAAGCTTTCATGAAGAAACTGGACTGCCATTTGTCCAGAATGGCATAGGGTCTCTTGCTTGGGCTGGGGGTTGGACTAGAAGATCTCCAGGGCCCTCCCCAACTCTCTTATTCTATTGGGATGCAGGAACTGGAGACTAAAACATACGATGAACAGTTACAGGAACTGGGCATGGTTAGTCTAGGGAAGGGAAGGACCAGGGGAGACAGGAGAGCATCTTCCAATATTTGAGGGGCTGCCACAGAGAGGAAGGAGTCACGTTATTTTCCGAGGCACCCCAGGGCCAGACAAGGAACATTGGATGGAAACTGACCAAGGAGAGATTCAACCTGGAAATAAGGAGAAGTTTTCTGACAATGAGAGCAATCAATCCATGGAACCGAAGTTGCCTTTGGAAGTTGTTGAGCTTCTCACTGGAAGCTTTCAAGAAGAAACTGGGCTGCCATCTGTCAGAAATGGTGTAGGGTCTCCTGCTTGAATGGGGGTTGGACTAGATGACCTACAAGGACCCTTCCAACTCTGTTAATCTGAACTGTGTTGATCTGTTTCAGCTTAAGTTTGAAGGAACTGGCACCTGATGGACTTGACTCTACAGAGCAACTGGATGGGCATTCCTTGGGAAGGAGAGACCCCCAACGAGCCCCTATTATTCATAGCAACAATGAAATGGGATCCCTCTTTTCTCAGGATGAAGAGGATGAGGATGGTCAGAGGATGTCTCAGGTAAGTTTGCCAGATTCCGGACAGACAAATTTAGAGAGTAAATTTCATAGGAATACGCAGAGTAAAGCACGAAAAAGCAGACTGAGGTTGATTCTAAACAAACTTGGCAAGTTGTAGAATTCGTCTGTTAGATTAGATGCTCAACAGAATAGAATAGAATAGAATAGAATAGAATAGAATAGGATAGAATAGAGCAGAACTGCAAGCTGCAGTTCAGCAGTTCATATCTCACCAGGCTCAAGGTTGACTCAGACTTCCGTCCTTCTGAGGTAGGTAAAATCTGGTCTGTCAGGGTAAAGGGTTAAGAGCTGACCAGCTGCTAGAAGGATGTAATGCTGGGAATGAGTCAGCAAAGTTTTGGGGCCGATATCACTTTAAGAGGCTGTCATAAGAGCCAAGGTGGCGCAGTGGTTAAATGCAGCACTGCAGGCTACTGCTAGATCAGCAGTTCAGCGGTTCAAATCTCACCGGCTCAGNTCTCCTTCTCTTCTTCCTCCTCCTCCTCCTTCTCTTCCTCCTCCTCCTCCTCCATATCCGTCATCGGACATTGGTGGTTCTATTTTTATCAATACTAAGGCTTTACAGAGTGGTATTAGTACTTGATCTTGATTGTGTCCCTCTGTTAATGCAACTTAGAATTGTATTGATTGTTAGTTTAGTGTTAATCTTGGTGTTAATCTCTGCTTATGGATGTAGAAAAAGTACCAAGGATCCCACAGTTCAGTGATGAGTACAAATATTCTATGTTTTGTGATGAATTAGTGCCGTGTAGCAGCCCTGTATCTCAACATGGAGGTTAACCAAACTTACTTTTAATGCCATTTTTTCATCTGTTTACGAAATACACTGAATCACAAACTGTTTCAACCACATTTGAGCCTGGAATGTTATATGTACCCAGCCCGGGAAGTTCAGAGGGTCATTCAAACCTTCAAAAAGGCTCCTTTGGATGATTTAACATTAAGTGGAATACCGTATTTTTCAAACTATAGGACGCACCTAGCTTTTGGGGAGGAAAAAAAAAAAATCTGCATCCCAGCAATTTGCCTCCTTGCAGCAAACAGCCTGGTCAGCTTCAGCACAGCCTGATTTAGCATGAGGTGGATTGGCAGTTGGGTCGGCCTCCTAGAATACCGATGATCAGCTGTTCCAGGCTGCAGGGATCGCCGCCGCTGTGCATCCCATTTTTGGCCTCTGTGCACCCCATTATAATATATAATAATATTATATTATATTATGAACGGGCCGAAAATGGGACGCAAGGAGGCGGCAACGGGGTGGCAGCGATGCCCACAGTCTGGAACAGCTGATCATCGGTATTCCGGGAGGCCAGTCCAACCGCCAATCAGCTGCTCATGCTAAATCAGGCTGTTTGCTGTTTGCTGCATGGAGGCAAATTGCTGGGAGGCAGAGGCTGAAGGGTGGGGGCCAGCGGGTGGCTGGGGCTTTGGCAACATTGACTATAATGCTATATGCTGACTCTGTAAACCGCTTAGAGAGGGCTGAAAGCCCTATGAAGCGGTATATAAGTCTAACTGCTATTGCTATTGCTATTGCTATAAGACCACACAGCTGGCTTAGTGGCTAAAGCGAGTCTAGAACTCACGGTCGCCAAATTTATGTTTTAACCACTTCGCCAAATTGGTTCTCTTCACAGCCGCTCTTTATAATAGCATTAAATTCTTTAATACCAATATCTGTACTTGTCCTCAAAGACATTATAAGCCAATATAGGCTCAAACATCTGATCCTTCTTTTGATGGCAGTGTGACTAGCCATATTATTCAAGAATTAATATCAAGATATGTAACTATATGTTTGGGAACAATGCACTGAAATACAAACAGTTTTTGAGCATTGAAGAAAATGGTGACATCTTTGAATATGGAACACACTAGCTTATTATTACCAGTTCAGTGGAACACAACAGTGCTGCTCATTAATTGATCTAGATATATAAACCATTTCTATTAAAATTTGGGAGAGAGAAATAAGTTCCTATAACTCATTTACACATTTAACCAAATATTTATAAGCATATGGGAAATACTCTTTAATTTTCTTCTTTTAAAAAAAAATCAAAATATGGTTACTCTACCTGTTTGGAAATCGATACCAGTAGTCTGCATCATATTTGCCTTATTGGTTAACCTACCATAACCACATCATCTAGAAATGGAATGTGACTAATTCAACAGTACACAGAAAAATTCCAGGTGGACCATAGCACGATTAGTATCCCATTGATTGGACAACGTAACTTTTTCTTACACAGATTAAAACATATCTTTCAAGCATTTGAAGTGCATCACAATTCTCCACTCCATCAAGCATTAGTCCTGCTTTGTAAGGCATTAGTAAGATCAAACTTTGAATGCTGCATCCAGTTTTGATCACCGTATTATAAAAAAGATGTGGAGACTCTAGAAAAAGTGCAGAGGAGAGCAACCAGGATAATTAGGGGACTGGAGACGAAAACATATGAAGAATGGTTGCAGGAACTGGGCATGGCTAGTTTAGTGAAGAGAAGGACCAGGGGAGACATGATAGCAGTGTTCCAATATTTGAGGGGGTACCTTAAAGAAAAGGGGGACAACCTATTTTCCAAAGCATGAGAAGGCAAGGAAAAGAAACAATGGATGGAAACTAATTAGGGAGAGAAGCAACCAGGAATTAAGGAGAAACTTCCTAACCATGAGGACAATTAAACAGTGGAACACTTTGCCTTCAGAAGTTGTGAGTGCCTTTAAGGGCCTTCTTTAAGAAGAGATTGGACAGCCACTTTTTTGGAATGTTATAGGGACTCCTTTTTTATATATTTTTTATTTTTTTTATTTTCAAAACAAACACAACACATAAAATCTTCCTTCTTTACATACTGTAGAAAGTGTAT